GGCTCCCTTTTATACTAAAACTGGGGTTGTGACCCTTTAACAAGGGGAGATAATTAGGAAAATAGAAACAAAAGTACTGGTTGCTAAAAAATCTTCTTCTCAAGAACCACTGGGCAGATTATCACCAAACTTACACAAAAGGATGAGGATATGTTGTAGATTAAAATTTGCACGGGGATTTACCCTGGGGCAAAGGGCGTGGTCTCAAGGTCACTTCAAAGTTGACCAAAAATTACATTTTATTAAAATGTTGATATTTTGCTTACTATAAGGACTAGGATCATCAAATCTTGTCAGTTGGTGCATCTAAGGACCTGATATCATGTTGACTCAAAAGTAGGTCACAGTGACCTACTTTTTAAATTTTGCGGCCATTCTTTTTCAAAATGATTTAGAGGCATATTTTGAACAATTTAAGGCCTATGATCATCAAACTTTGTCAGTTGATGCATCTTGGGTCCTCAAAGTACGTCAACTAAAAAGTAGGTCACCTTGACCTACTTTTTGAATTTTATGGCTAATCTTTTTTAAAACAATTAAGGTCAATAATTCGAATACGGGGAGGCTTAGAATCATTAAATCTTGTAAGATGATGCATCTTGGGGCCATAAAACATAGTTATTAAAAAGTAGGTCACAGTGACCTACTTTTTGAACTTTGCAGGCATTCGATTTCAAAGTGTTTTAGAGGCATAATTTGGACATTTTAAGTCCTATGATCATAAAACTTTGTAAGTTGATGCATCTTGGGTCCTCAAAAAAGGTCAACTGAAAAGTAGGTCACCGTGACCTACTTTTCAATTTATATGACTATAATTAAATATTTCAGGTACTAATTGGCTTAGAATCATCAAACTTTGTCAGTTGATGCATCTTGGGTCTTCGGAGTAGGTCGACTAAAAAGTAGGTCACAGTGACCTACTTTTGAAAATTTATGGCGATAATTGAATATTTTGGGTACTAATTGGCTTAGAATCATCAAACTTTGTCAGTTGATGCATCTTGGGTCTTTAGGGTAGATCGACTAAAAAGTAGGTCACCGTGACCTACTTTTGAAAATTTATGGCTTTAATTAAATATTTCGGGTACTAATTGGCTTAGAATCATCAAACTTTGTCAGTTGATGCGTCATGGGTCTTCGGGGTAGGTCGACTAAAAAGTAGGTCACCATGACCTACTTTCGGAAAATTTATGGCTTTAATAAAATATTTCGGGTACTAATTGGCTTAGAATCATAAAACTTTGTCAGTTTAGGCGTCATGGGTCCTCGGAGTACAACAACTGAAAAGTAGGTCACTGTGACCTACTTTTGAAAATTTATGACTTTAATCAAATATTTCGGGTACTTATTGGCTTAGAATCATTAAACTTTGTCAGTTGATGCGTCTTGGGTCCTCGGAGTACAACAACTGAAAAGTAGGTCACTGTGACCTACTTTTGAAAATTTATGGCTTTAATTAAATATTACAGGTACTAATTGGCTTAGAATCATCAAACTTTGTCAGTTGATGCATCTTGGGTCCTTGGAGTAAAACAATTGAAAAGTAGGTCACTTTGACCTACTTATAAAATTTTATGATTATAATTTTAAAAAATATTTTAGGTATTAATTGGCTTAGAATCATCAAACTTAGTTGATGGGTCCTTAGAGAATGACAAGTGATAAGTAGGTCACCATGACCAACACTCAGGTACTAATTGGCTTAGAATCATCTTGGGTTCTCAGAGTGTGAATTGGAATTTCAAGGGTTTATGTAAATATACAGGATACTTCGAGGCTTCAAATAGAAGTGATAGGTTGTACAGTTTATCAGAAGAGCGATTCAAGGCCCATGGGCCTCTTGTTTTGTTTGTTTTCTTCTTTGCTTAAAATTTGAATAAGAAAAAATTATGAAAATACATATGATGATGACCATGTCAGATGACCAGAACAATAACAAACTGTTTTCAGTTTTACTCTTTTTTTTTTAAAGAAGAAAAATCACTTATTCAGAGAATCTACACAGAAACTTCATCTCAACTCTGATAATGATATGTATGTATTATACTGATACCCATGCATAAACACATGTTAATAATCATACCTACTTTTCAAATGTAAAATCCTTTTTTCCTCACAAAATATTTTGATGAGGGCAGGCAAAACCAAGTATCATTCTCTGCAATGAAGAATAATGAATGATTAATTTAATTCATAACCCAGAATAGGTCATACATACAATGTACATGTAAGTGCTGAGTTGGCTTATGATACAATTTAAACAGTAGCATAAGATATGATTCTGTCTTTATTTTATTATAATTGCACTCAAATAAAAAAAAAAAACAACATTTTTTAAACCACAGTAGGGAAATAATATAGTAATAACAAACTGAAAAAGGCATAATACATCTTATTGTTTTAGGACACATTGAATCATGACAGAGAATTTGTAAATTTTTAACCCTCTCCCCTTCCTACACTACCTATTTTTCCACACCCGATTTTTGTCTATGTTATAATAGAATAAAATTTTGATAGCTCAAGTCATTATAACATTGTTAAAAGGGGGGAAATGTATAAACATGCACACATGTACAGTGTGTAGTATACTTACATGTTCTTGCACCAAACAACTTCGATATCGATCTGTTCAAGTCCGCCGTTGGCGGTTTGTGTAGAATTATCCAGACAAACAGAGCACATTTAACACAGTTACATGTTATTGAACTTTAAAACAAGTAGGAATTGGCTTAATCATCCAAACATGGCTTTACATGCTGAAGAAAATAAGATCTCTTGATGTCCGAACTCTTCGTTGTTTACATGTGAAGATTCTTCCGGTAATCGGTCACGGTTAAATCGTACGCAATGTCACTCGAAGTTAATTATTAATTTGTGTTAAAATAAGCAAAATATGTTTATTTTCTATCGTAATTTGATAAATATTTCTTTTGTAAACGTTTTAAAACATATTCTGTTTTTGTAATTAATTCTGAAATATGAATCAACCTTTACTCGAATCTGATTGGCTGTAGGATACAGGATAGGATAGGATAGGATTGGATTGGATTAACTACTATATGTTTCTATCGTGAATCCTCAATCCTGAATCCTATCCAAACCCATCCCATGTCAACTTGTGGGATAGCAGCACTGTAAATGAGGACGTATAGCAAAAATTGAAAGATTGCATATTATTAAGAATATTATTTTGAACGTCTTTTGTTCAATATTGGTTATCAAAATATTCTTCCTTTTCAAGATTTATTGCGCCAAAGATTATGCAATCTGACCCCTAATGACCCCTTATTGCATAAGACATGATGTAAACACCATGTTATATAGTTAAAGAGTGTGAAGATGAACTATTTCGCTTCAGTAATATATTAAAAAATATTGATCATTAAATAGTTATTGATTAAAGACTTTTGGCCCCTCTCCTCCCCTATTTTGAGGGGCCAGCCCCTTTTTCTTCATACCACCTTAAAGCTCTTATGATTTTGAACACTTTTTGTTCAACAACTATTCAGAAATTCTTTTTCGTTACCGAGATATATGCAAAAGATATATTTAGGGGCCAGCCCTTCAACTCCTTAATGGGGACGTATAGCAAAAATCAAAAGGTTACATATTCTTCCGAACATTGTTTTGAACATCTTTTATTCAATATTGCTTATCAAAACATTTCCCACTTTCGAGATATAGAGTGCCAAAGATTTGGCATTCTAGCCCCTTATGGCCCCTAATTATGTAACATATGACATAAATTTTATAATATATAGTTGTAAATTGTAAAAATACACATTTTTGCTTCAGTAATGTATACCAAAATATTGATCATTAAAGAGTTATTGATTTAATCTTTTTGGCCCCTCTCGGCCCCTAATATGATGAGTCAGTACTTTTTTCTTAATATCATATTAAAGATCTTTTCATTCTGCACAAACATTGTTCAGTATGTTTTAGCAAAATAATTATACTTTAAAAGATATGATACAAAATGTCTCAAAAATTCAAGCATAATTCGTGTCCTAAATTTCGACGCCTACCGAGCTCCCATACTAGGCACTTCCGGAAAATATCTAAACCCAGGTGCAAAATGGCAACATGTCCTCTATCAACACTGAAAATTTCAGCGCTCTAGCTTAAGCCGTTTTTGAGTTCAATCGCAGACAAGGAGGTCCTCTAAATTTTGATAAAAGGGCGATAACTTCCGACCGGAAGTAAATATCCCTTAAAGGAATTGCCGGAATTAACTTCAGATATCAACGCATCTACCACAAAAAACTGAATAAAATCGAACGAGCCATCTCCGAGAAATCGTCTGCACAAATTTTGTAAGAAGAAAAAAGAATAAAAATAATAATGAAGGTAAAAAAGAAACCGAAGAATAATAGAAGGGTCTTCCGCTGAAGACGAAAGACCCTAATAATAAAAAGAAAAGTGAAAAATCAACAATAGAATAATAGAAGGGTCTTCCGCAGAAGACGGAAGACCCTAATAAAAAGAAAAGTGAAAAATCAACAATAGAATAATAGAAGGTTCTTCCGCAGAAGACGGAAGACCCTAATTATAATAAAGGTAAAAAAGAAACCTAAGAATAATAGAAGGGTCTTCCGCTGAAGACGGAAGACCCTAATAATCTTAACCATCAGAATCAGTAGAAGGTCTTCCGTTGTGACGGAAGACCTTAATGATAAGAGATATTACTACAATCGTATCAAGATAAGCTCACATATTATTTTCAATAAAATCGTAAACGAACAACTTTTCTGGCAGCAACTTTTCTTGCTTACTCCTCCTAGGCACCTGATCCCACCTCTGTCATTTCCAGGGATCCGTGTTTTATGCCCTCTTCACATATTTGTTTATAATTTTTTTGAGATCGATCACTGTTCATTAATTAAACCTTTTACACCTAGAAAATTGTAAACATAATATTTTTGAACTTCAATTAAAAATACTAGAATAATATAATTTCATTTACAATTTTAAACAAAATGATTCTTCAAATTTAATATTAAAGAATACAACGCTTCATTCGAGTCTTTATTTTTATATATCCTTTTACACATCGCTTCAGCTAGGTTCTGTTTCATGACGTATAATGGGTCTTAAAGTGTATGTCAACTAAAGAAATGAAAGTGCTCGACCTGTATCAAATGGATGCCTCAGATGGAATATAGAACAAAAAGAAATACTTAAGTTTCATAATTGTCGTCAGATGACAACAAAGTATTCAAATAACAATTACCCCATTCTAAGTAGAATCTCAAACAGTTCACTTAACATTATTTCACATCTTGGAGATATAAAGTACTTCACACGTAGATCGGAATGATTTACATTTCTGTGTCAAGTGCATTACTAATGCAAAAAAAAATGTGTCAGATATTTACAGTATAACAGTTGAAAAAGATCAATTGATATAATTTTAGTCTGTACAAAGCTGTAAAAGATGTCTCGTATACAGGAAAGCACGCTTATAACCAAGTGCCATGGACGGACTATTTTGCTTCGTTATAAGTGTAATTCGTTTTATGCGTTAAGTTTATAAAATCAATTTGCTGTAAGCGTCAATTCATTGTTAGCGTGTTCATTATAAGCGTGTTGCACTGTACCTACTTAAAAACACATTAACTCTGTCACGTTTGCCTTCGTTTTCCTTTTGCAAATAAGAAGTATGTTGACCACAAATGTAGTGCAGGTGGTAGTATAGGTGCCTTTCTTTGCTATACAAGTTGTGACACATAGTTCATTGGAACAAGATAAAAGCATGAAGCAATATAATATATGATATAACATCGTCGTTATTTTATATTTTGCATATCAATGTAAAAATAAATATAAAAATTATTTTAAAGATATATGTACATGTATGTTGAATAGATATCTTGAGGATACAGCTGACCTCCTTGATAAAGCTGTCATTGGAGAGTAAATAAAGCCGATATTCTGGATATTTAAGCATTGTCCTTGATATTTAACTAAGATCTTTAATCAAGGTCCTCGATCTTTAACCCGCCTAGAAGACTTCTTCTCATAGTTCTCATATTCTTACTCATGATATTGACTATAGACATCCTGAAAAAGAAGACCAGTGATAAATTCGGACGTTGGACCAAGAATTGGTTTCAATCCACACATGATCTCCCGCCTGAACTTCGAGCAGCAGCGAACTTGAACCGGTATGGTAATGGTTAGCAGCATTCTCCCCTGAGTATATGTAACCTTTTCCAGAACCATTGATTTTTAGATTTGTGCCACAGTGATTACTTCCGGTTGTATGGCAGTTCATGGTCCAGTGAAACATGTACAATCCATGAACAGGTGCGATGAAAATCCCATCCGTCGAATTGTAGTGGTTTCCCAGGTTAGTGATGACATGAGAGAACTTCAGTATGAATCCATTACTTATTCCGGATCTATCATTGGATCGTGCACTGAAAGCTACAAGCTTGGTGTTGAATGAAGGAATGCCTGAAAGGAAGAGAAACAGAAAACATTTTATTTATGAATCCGATTTTATAAATCTTGATAATTTCATTTTCATTATCTGCACAAATAATTCGTTTGTAAAGATAAAGATAGTGGAAGAAAACATAAGAGAAAAAAGTATCACAGCACGTTTATATCCTCATTCATGACTTACCCTGGTGATAAATCTTTAAACCGCTTATATTTGCATGGTCTTTCCCAGTCAGAATTCTTCCTACAGCTTTTTCCAACATGTCCACCCTATTCTGAAGATCGGACATATTGTTTGGATCCGAATTGTTCGTAGTCTTTTGACTGTTAACAAAACCTAAGTATAGAAATATAATTCCAATTTTTTGTATGTACATATACATGACTGATGCTTTAAGAACTCTAGAAAAGAAATTCGGTTACCAATTTATACTTTTTCAACATGTAGTGATTGGGCGAAGTGGGTTATCAAAAATTTACATCCAAGAATATAATTGGATGTTATCTGTGAAGAGAGTTGCTTCAACTACATTACCCGACGTGTATTTTTATCTTTTTAACCCCTTTACTTTTTATAAGCTTTTTACAACTACATGTTATTTTCATTCGTTAAAAAACAAACTAGATACATGTATAATGCAGAACATGTTTTCGAAAGCTTAATATCAAAATCTGACAAGGAAATACAAGTACGACTCTGATAATTCCAGTGATGAACAGTTTTACATTGCTTAATATTAATTTTTAAACAATTCAATGAAGTGAGCGACTTCTTGGTATAATGACATTATCAATACTCGATTCGGAGACGCAGCGTAATCATGAAACTAAAGAAAGAATTTTTAAAAAAGATTTTTTTTTTTAATTTATTACTCACTACTTCATCTTTTTATCAAAAATATAAAATAGTCTCGTTTTTCATCATTAACTGTGCAAAACGTAATTGATAAATTTTCTCTCAGTGTGAGCATTGTAGCAACACGCCAATTTCACAGTATTTGTGTTTTTTCATACTCACTTATGTTATAATGCACTCTGCATCAAAATATATGATTAAACCCTTAACAATTATGACCAAATTATGACAAAATGGTACCCCTAACAAGTTAAATGATATATAACACTCCCATGTTCTAGACAATAAAAATATTAAAGATTTACTACCTAAAATATGGGGTATATTTTGCGTTATGCTGTTGCAGCTGAAAAATGGCTTGTTTTCCAGTTTTTGTTTCAGGAGATTTACAATAGAAACTCTTAGTCATAGATGTCAAATCATTGAGAAATTATCTCTCTTTTATATGCAATTTACTATGTGTAAATCAACAAAATATTAGCGAAATGATGTTTAAATATGTGAAAATGCAGATACGTTATGAAATTTAATATAGTTCTACTGTTTGAACTTGCAGTTTAAAAAAATATATGTTAATGCAGTACTCTTACTTTAGGTTCATTTTAAAGTAGAGTTAAATGATAAATGAAACAATAAAGAAAAGTTTGAGTGGATTCTTCGAAACTTTAGAAAATGACACACTTTCTTCTAACTGGCATAAAAATGTCCCAAAATTCTGTAATGTCCGCAACATGTGCTTATTCTGGAATGCATTATGAATTATATTTCTTTTATTTTACATGTAAGAGACCAGTACAGCTACTAATCTATCTACCAAAAAATAGTAGACTTTAGCTCAGTGTTGCTTGGAATTCTGGCAAATATATTGTGTTTTGTAGAGTCCGCAACGTTGTAGAGTCCGCAACAGCTTTTTAAATTCGCATTTTCTTCAAAGAAATGTAACATGATTTCAATTGATCATCACTATAATTGTCCAAATATTCAATACAAATAAGTAAGGTTACAAAACGTAGTGGAACTATAACTTCATACTTTGAATAACACCCATAACGACTTGTTTATACATAATATTCAAAATCTTTCAATTGTCAGTCTTATGTTATATTTTGGAAGTTAATTTTCATGTGGTATTTAAAACTGAATAAGTGGAAACTAAAGAATATATCAAGATGTTAATTAATAAGTGTACTTCTAATTAATACATTTGTGTTGCAGACACTACAGTAATAACTATATGCCACATTCATTTATTATTTTCACTTTTTTATTTCATTAAATATTTTTGAAATGTAAAACATTTCTCTGATATTTTGCTCCTTTGATTATACAATTAGTTAACTGGATTATGATAACAAATGGTAATTTTTGTACAAGATAACACTTCAAACTTACTGGTATATATATGGGTTTTATTTTCCAGGCCGGAAAGCCATTTTTGACTAGCCTTTTTTTATTTCCCTATAATATAACACCATTTACTGTACATGTAGAACTAGTTAGAGATTAAGATTTTCAGTTTACTCCATTAAAACCAAATATGGTGTCATATAGCAATATTTCAATATATTGTAGTGTCCGCAACAATTTCAATACTGAAAAAAAAAATTATGGATACCTTAGTAAATTCTTTAATTCATTGAATTTATCTATAAAATTATTTGTTATAACTTCTTTAATTGTATTAAAATAAGTAAAATCATAGACATTTTTTAAAACTGCAAAACAATTATACATCAAGAAATAATTAATGGTCCTTGTTATGTGGTTATTTTCATCTCAATAAACCACATTCTGCATCTTTTTATATGATACATTTTCAAGAGATGATCCTGTGGTATATAATTCAGCCTAGAAATGAACATTTATCAACAATTATTTTTATAAAAATGACAAAAAATTATTCTTATGGTTACTTGTAGTGTCCGCAACAAAAATGCTATGCATTTTCAAAGCTAGACAAGATACAAACGAAGATATCCAGGGTGTTATGACAAATGTATTTGAAATTTAGAAGTATTCAATTTAATTTTCACATGATAATTATATAGGTCGTGTGATTGTAAAGGTAGATAAACTTAAGGAAGGGAGATAAATTAGGCCAAAAAATTAGCAAGTCATTAACGTGAATAAAATTTTTGTTTTCAAAGAGAACCATGAAATTTTTCTTTTATTTCACTGCAATTAGGTACATAATCAAAACGCGCAAGAAGTTTGGAATAAATAAATATCTTTAATATTTTATTTTAGACATAACAGGTGTAATGTAGTGTCCGCAACACAAGATCTCGCCCAAAATATGACTTCGCATAACTTTTTTCTTAAGAATGCTTATATAAAAAAAAAATTGGGACTCATTTGCATAGGTATTGTACTTTCTAGAAAACATGTCAATAATGTGCTGTTTGACTTTTTATTCTTTGGTCCAAGTGCAAGACAATTAGCACAAATACTGTGAAAATGGCGACAGCGAATGATACAAGGTCGCTTAATGATAGAAACATCATTAAGGGTTGCGAATGCAACGTTCAGTGCAGTAAATGTAAGACATAATTTGACATTGCCCAGTTTATTTCTTGAAAAAACATAAAGTATGTGATTTGAGTTTCATACACAAGCAAGTTTACAACATTAGTGTATTAACAGTCTCATGTCCTTGTCAAAGTCTGAAAGAAGACTTTATTTTCCTGACCGAATATTCGAACTTTTGGATTTGGATTTTAACAGTACATGTATGTTGAAAAACTCCTAATAATTTTCTATCTTAACTTGTTTTTTTTCTTTGCTCTGTATATCAATCTTTTAAAAGGTAACATCAATGATGGGAAAAAACCTTTTGCTAGTTTTACGATAAAATTCTGGAAAAATAACTTATTGCTAGTCGCTTAATTTCGCTTTCTCATAATTTTGTGTTGTATTATCATTTTGCATTCAAAACGATATATCATTGTTTCTTCAATTATCATATGAACTATCTAGCCTTTTTTCTATATTGACAAGCAATGAAAATTAGCAAATCAAAGAATATTACTATTGTTCGGTAAATTGAGGGAAAGATAGTGATTTTTATTTTCGCTTAAGGATTGAAAATCATTTATTAACTATTTTTCATTTAAGGGTGCGTGCGATTGCAACGCTTAATGATTCATAGTTTCTTTGATCATGTATATTGTTATTTGTTTCATTAAACGTTACGACTGCTGTGCATTTACGACGCTTCAAAATATAAGTCTGTCAATAAACGGTGATTAGAGATAAGCGATTTAGAATGTAAACTGTTATTGCAATAAAGTATGGTATTGAACGTTGTATTTGTAAAGCTTAATGATATTTCTATCATAAAGCAGCGTTGTATCATTGGTTGCTTCGAAGCACTAATTTAACAGTTTTTTTAAAAAAAGATAATATCACGTATTTTAATTAAATGTTAACGAATATGATAGCAAATTGAATTTGATTAGAGATTACTATATATTCATTTTCCAAGTAGATACATCAATTGGAAATCTATATATAATACTGAGTCACGTAGATCTATTCATCTGGTGAAAAATCCCAGGTTATACTCGAATAACTTGGACAAGAATTAGAGTCATCCCTTATAATTTAATTTTAAAATCATTAAATAACTATGGGTGTAAAATTTCGTTGCTTTTTATTAGTTCGAATTTGCCGCTCAATAATACAACCGTAGTAACGGAAGTAACGGATGTGAAGGAATCGAGGGGAGGTAAAAACTGATACATAGGCCTAGAAACTTTATTGTTTGTTTACATGTGATAAGATCGAATTATTGTTTGAGGTTAAAGGTACATTTATTAAATCTGAAATTTTCCATGAATCCCGAGGACTGGAAATGAGAGGACTGTATGGATACAGATGATTCAGCTGGTTGTCGGGGAGGGGGGGGGGTGTCCCCATACCAAACCAGGTTATACAGAAATAATTTGTGTTCCTTTTTGGATATTAACCAATCAGAGGCTAGAATACAAACAAAATTAAATTATTATTTTGTAATCTATTCCACAAATGAAGGGAAAATGTGTATATGAGGGGGTGGTGTGGGATGGGGGGTTGATTTGTGAAAAGTTGATCTGGTGTTCATGGCTTTGAAAAAGGTTGAAAACTGTTTTGTTGGTATCTAAAATATCTTAAAACTCCGAAATCACTGTGTACTAAAATAATTATATTCAATGTGACGACAACAATTCATCAAGTTCCAATTATAAACAAAGCTTTAACCCCCCCCCCCTCCTTCTGTTTTTTTTTTTTACACAATAACATTCTTTCGAAAACTCATTTTTAAACGAATTTACTTCATGAAATACTGATATTTCACACTGGTACTGATTTAAAAGGTCCATGGGCCTCAGACTCACCTGAGCATTTTTTCATATATATCATATATACATATATCTATATTTTGTGTAAATCATAGAAGTATTGTGGCTTCTTTCCTGATTATCCAAATATGGAGAGTGTGTTAAGAAACAAACACGTATGTGCGGATATTTCTATCTTATGACAGCTTCTAATCATTATATATTGAACCTCTAAGGAGAGTAAAATTTTCGGGCACTGTAAAATCATGATTCTCTGTTATATCTTAAAATTCTTGCCTCTATTGAAAATCAACAACAAAACCCACATCATAGTGAAATTTTATTGAGGAAATAATTGATTTTGAATACGCTTAATTACACGAAAAATACAGAGTAATAATTGAAAAAATAGTTGAGTAAAGGAAATACATAAAGCTTGCTATATAAGACTTTAACAGAATATATCATAGTTCAATTTGCAATATTGTGTTTGTCATGAATTGATGCATAAACTTCTAGCCATGTTGAAAGAGTCGACATCTCATTTTTCTCTTGGTCAACATCTCATTCTTCTGACAGTGCTTGTGCGTCTAAGGCTAGTACGTGTACGTCGAAAACCTCGGCGACCTAAAAGACGTGCAATGCCACGGAATAATGAGCCGATTCCTCTTTTTTTGCGCCCATTAGACCCACCACACCTGTTCAAGTAGGTCCGCCGGCCTCCTTGAATTTGCTCCTGTCCATTTCGCCAGTTGTTGATCGCATGACTATGTCCCCGATCTGGGCCTCCGTAACGGCTAGCTCGGGCGATCCGCTCATCTACTATCTGTTCGACCCGTCTTAATTGGCCATCCACATTTCGACCTATGTCACATTTAAAACAAAAACATGAAAGTTTACAATACCTGATTGAAATTTTAAACATAAGCTGGCTTTAGGCTCATCACAGATATAACAGGCCCTATCTACATACCGTTATCTGATTCCTTATTTCGAATTCCAACATCATTATACAGTATGGATTTCATTATTTCATTACAGTTTAAAAGAGTCCCCTTCTTGAGTCCAGATATTAAAAAATGTATTTTACAGTCTTTTGGAACTGTGTAGAATTTGGTGTATATATGCATTTCAATTTGTGCTCAAAAATAATTTCTAAAGGTTAATTTAAAGGTTGAGGATAATATAATCAATCTCATAAATCCAGTATGGAAAATGCCCTAATTAAAAATACTATAATAAACTATGGTTGACTATAGTTAATTATAGTAAATCAAAGTTTCAAAGTTTTTACTATAGTATATCAAAGAATCAAAATTTTCCCCTTAGTAAATCAAAGTATCAATCTGAAAGTTTTCCCTTTAGCAAATCAAAGTATCAAAGTTTTCACTATAGCAAATCAACGTATCAAAGTTTTCCCCTTAGTAAATCAAATTTTCAAAGTTTTCACTATAGTTTTCATTTGATTTAATATAAGTATTACAGTTGTAACTGTAGGTTAATGAAGTTCCATGGAATACAGCATCACAATAAATTATTGGCTTTTTATCATTATTTTTTTTTTTGGGGGGGGGGTGGGGGTGGAGGTGGGGTGGTTGGTGGTGGTGGTGTAGATTTTATCTCTTACTTTCAATTTACAGATTAGCTACATGTAATTCAAATGCAATATTTTCATTCATACATAAACAAAATATATGTTAAGTAAAGTGGATGAAGAAGGTATGGCTCAAATTTCATTTCATAGAACATTATCCTCTCTCCATAACAATTTAACTTACACTACATCAGCACTGAATTTGAATTTCTTTGATTTAATGTTGCTTAACTATCGTTCTATTCGTACACAAGGCAACCTATATTTAAATTCCTTTTTTTCTACGATTTTAGGGTAGGATGGGGTTCATAAAAAGTTCTCTGGAGCTTTTATGAATTTTGACCATGAATTATCATATAATGTCAAGATTGGGAATCCAAGATATAACTCTGTAGTTATTCAAAGTATTCACAATAGTAATTCAAAATTTCAAAGTTTTCTCTACGGTATATCAAAGTTTCAAAGTGTTAACTATTGTTAATAAACGTTTAAAAATTATAACTATACTAAATCAAAGTTTCAATGTTCTCACTATAGTAAATCAAAGTGTTAAAATTCTTTTTTTTATATAAAAGTGAATCAAAGTTTTTAAGTTTTCACTATAGTAAATCAAGGTTTCAAAGTTTCAACTATAGTTCAGCAAAGTTTCAAAGTTTTACTATAGTAAATTAAAGCTGCAAAGTTTTCACTATAATGAATCAAAGTATCACAGATTTCACTAAAGTTAATCAAAGTTTCAAACTTTTTACTACTTCTAGAAAATCAAGGTGAGAATTTTGATACTATAGTTAACTATAGTAGTTTTTTGTTAGAGTAAAGCGTAAACAGGGCATAAACACCGACCCATGAAAACACGTGGGTTAAGTCAGATGCTTAACAGTAGTAATCTTCCCCTGTTGACCGGCCAATCCCGCCGAGAGTCCTATGTATTGATCAGATATAATTAGCAATTCGTAGTCAAATTTCGTTAAAAAAAAACAACAATACACTAAGAATTGGAAAGAAATATGTCAGACAAAGTACGCCCAAATGAAAGGGTATGTTTGCAAACAAGATCCTTATGGCGACCGTAGAATTTGCGAAATGCTGCCTCTAAAGGAAGTTATTGAAATACCTGTTACATTAACGTACTTGTCAATAGCCTGTCTTTATTTAAAAACTGGTCAAACTCAGAGCATCGTCTTGCGTACCGAATCATAAGTAAAAGGAATATTGACAAAGAAAAGCTGAAGTCATCCGTTTGTCATACAGTTTAGTTAATAGTGTGCCATTATCTAAGTCAGAAAACAACAAATGTGATGTCTTTTATTTCTAATTCACTGGCAGTAGTACAACAAAATTTTCGTGCAAGTTTTGAATAGGAGGTCGAACTCTGTTTTTTTTAAATTTTAATCAAATACATGTTTTTGTATTGATCTTATGGAAAAAAAAATAGGGCAGGGGAATAATACCGCAAATCATGACTTTATGTAGAATGACTGGCAAAAATATTTCATTTTTAAAGATATTAAGTTGATTTATGCTTAACTGGTAAATAATATCCTCTGCTTTCATGAGTATATAGAGTCAATTAAAAGTATTTCTTGATAAACTTATCTTCTTTTAGATTATATATGTATGTAAGCCAATAACAAGATTTTGTATTTTTCCAAAAGTTTATCCATTCACCAAGTATATTTTTTAATTAAAAAAGGTCGTAAAATTGAGATGAAAGCCAAATATGTCAAGAGGCATAGAATTTAAGAGTTCAAACATACGTTTCTCTAGCAAATAAAGTGTTTTAAGCGTACGCAGTACAGTTAAGGTGCCAAATGGAAATATCGGCGAATTTTTTAGATAGAAAATACATTCTTTACAAGGATGGACGTTTCTATTTAGGACTTTACTATTATCGGACAAATGCAATGTGGTTGAAAACTACATGTTGAGGACGATTAGATTTCTTATTTAGACTTGTCACGTGATGTGGCAGTCACGTGATTTTAGCAAATATACCTGAAGTATTGAGGTCATCTATAAATTCTAATATTGCAAGGGCATAACCAAGTTAAACATCTAAGTTTAACATATAATTATTATCAACACTCTTTGTAGTTTGTGAAAAGTGCTGCGAACCTATATAGATTCTACTATCTAATTGCTAAAATTACATTTGTTAGATCGTATATTGAATATTTTGCTGGTCAAGTACATTTAATATAGATATAATTAATTCATTTGCAAGATTTCAACAGGTTCGCAGCACTTTTCAAATATCTTCATACCTCTTGAGTTTATGTGTAAAAGCTTGTCGTAATTCATTGAGGGTATGCCCTTGCAATATATCGATTTATTACGACCCGTCTATTACCCTTCAGTGAATCTGCATACAAATATACGACAGTATCGCTTGTCTAGGGAATGTACGGGAAGTATATGAATAAAATCATAAAATAGACATCGCATCCAAGTTAATGGCCTCTTATACGAGGGGTTATCAAAAAGTTCGTGGACTAGCGCCATAAGATTAAAACCGGTTTAGGTACATCAATGAATTTTAAAACATTTAGTTAGCGTCGTCTTTTCTATCTATAGAATAAACCATTAATCATAAGTTTTATTTTTTAAATAAATTTTTAATGTTTTTGTAAGCAATGGTATGTCCAGGCGGCGCAACCTCAAATATGACGGTTTTTCCTCCTGAGTGTAACTGAGAAAAACTCTTTTGATATGAGCATTTGTCATCAAAAAATCCCGTTATTTCAGGCATGTGGTATGACACAATTGTTCTGTAAAATTTGCACTTTTTACCCTATTCTGTACGTTCTTTGAAATTTTATCGTAAATTTTATATGGAGTGTCCAAAAAATTTAGGCTTGAAAATGACGTCAAAAAGGGGGAGGGGTTTCTTCTTCCAGCATTTTATAAAGTTTCGAACCTGGAAAAACTGGTATAGACCTAAGGAATATTAAAACGGGCAAAAGAGAAATAAAATGCATCCAAAGCATTTGTTTTTAATGCCCAAAAAGATTCAGAGAGATGAAAGATGCATAATTAATGTCGATTTGTAGTCAGGGTGTCAAAAGTCAGTCACGTCAAAAGTGACTTTGATCATGTGTGGTAGAATTTGAACTCCAACAAGCTAAGTATTCTGGCATAATCAAGTGAGGATCTTTCCCTTTGTATAGATCCATTTACAATATTATATGCATTGTAAGCAGCTGTTCATGACATTATAAAGTCATATAAACAAGATGGGCTTTAATCCTTACTTAACTCCAGGTAATCTCATCAAGATAAGTGTATGAGGTAGAGAGAGCGGACAATGAGAAACAATGACGTTGTCGGACGTCATGAAACTAAACGGCGACAGCGCCGGGTGATCATATAATGTCTTTTTTTATTTTAGAATAATTTGGAACATTATCAACGTATCGAGCTAAAATTTTCAACATTTCTTAAACTTTTGTTGTTTTATGTTTCTTATAAATTTTGTAAGCACAGACTACATAGTATTGATTTTATCGCATCAGTCCACGAACTTTTTGATAACCCCTCGTATATCTACAATTTATATTTCATTTAATTACAAAATACATTTTTCATTGTATAAATATAACTTGATCCGCCTCTCACTGCATACAAACTGCGTCAAATTTTACGATATGATGTCACATTGACAAGTGCATTGCGATCAGTGAATTGTTTATATATTGCTGTGTGGGATTTAAACAACGACAATAATGAATGCACTAGTTAGTATTGATGTAGTTTAAAGCTATTCAACAGTTTAGAATAGCAAATCATTTCATTTTGTGGTAATCTGAAGAACTTATATTTTTGTGTGATGTCATAGTAAGCATTTCCCGTACAAATTAGGCCCCGCCTCCTTACTGCAGCCTTAACTGTGCTGCGTAGAGGGAATTTATAGTCTTGGATATTTAGCTAATTTTTTATTGGCCTTTTATTATCGCCTTGCCACCTACACATTGTCCATAGTTGTGTCTGATGACCAGTGAATCCAAAGCGGCACCATCCCACCTTCTTATCATGGTACACTCGTGCTTGTAACATTATACATTTATTGACTGGGTTCGAGGGCAACATTCGTTTTGTCAGACCCAAGAACCAAACTGTTTGCCTGAGGCCGTTAGGTCGAAGGCAAACAGTTTGGTTCGAGGGGTCGACAAAACGCTTTTTGCACTTGAACCCAGTCAATAAATGATTTGTTATACCTTTCATTTATTTATTTTATCATTGTTATTTTTTTGACATGCATGTATGTCGATCACCAACGAATGCAAATGAGATTTAGCTGACCCCGTCCATTATGTGATATTCAGTCTATGCGATCAATACATAGGGCCCACTGCAGGGGTGACCGGTCGACAGGAAATATTAACTCCTCTTAATATAAGCACCTGAGCCTACCTCTGGAATTTCCCAGGGTTCGTATTTTATGCCCTAGCTATCTGTTCATAGATTTGTATTGTTGTAATTTTTTTTAAATATCGATCACTGCTTTTTATCTTCACCTTTTTCTTTACTTTGCATTTCCTTCCAAGTTTTAATACTTAGCATCGATAGGTTTGACTGACATTTTTTTTTATCAAGTTCATTAAAAACAATATACAAAATTATGGCTTATACTAACATTTAAAATCTATTCGATGTAGATAATTATATTCATGAAATTGAAGTCCCTTTGAATTTATCCGGTATTTGTATTTGATGTATCTAGGTTATATAAACTTTATATTTTTTACTATCGGTAAAATATTACTATATATATATATATATATATTAGGGATGTCAACGAGTACCCGGTTAACCGGTACTCGATCGAACGTCCGAGTATCGAATACTAAAAATGGTACTCGGTTACTCGGAAGTATATTTTTTTCTTATTTCAAAGTACATATTTTTATCAAAAACTTATCAAAAAATTATTAAATATTCAAACGGTAATTAGCGTGTCGTCATCTACACCTGTAAAACACCTGTTATCGCATGTGGCTGTGTATATACAGTAATTAATGACCAATCATCCAGCTATTCTCAACTATTGTGGTCCTTAAATTTTGGATGGCTTCAATGATTGTTTTCAGTAAATATCGTTTAAGTATGGTCTATTATATTCAAATCGTTTTTAAATTATTTAATTAATATACGGTAGCGAAATCGGACATGCATAGAAATACCGATACCCACTTCAGAAGTGAAGAAATATTTAGAAATAACTAAAGATTTTTAAAAATTTGAAAGTCAGTTTGCGTAGTAGGTTTAGTGGGAAACAACCAAATTATGAAATGATATTAGATTAGCGATCCCAACAACGTCTTTTCCTTCTCTTTCGTTTGTCTAACATCACAAAACTGCGTAACAGATTGTCCTCCTTTTGCGTTGATGAAATAGGTCCTAAACAAGAACTGTAATCCATTTTTATTTTTTTAATGTATTAATTGTGTCTTTTGAGTTTATTTGATAAATAAATTTGGTACCAAAAAATCATTTCCCTTGACTCAGTTGTTTATACACATTTATAAACGTGATAAAACAGCTTTGGGATTTAACAGAGCTTAACCGTGCTCAAGAAAATTAACACACTGTCTTGTATTTTAATTTTTACCGAGTACCCGGGTACTCGATCGGAAAAACGTCCGAGTAACCGATTATCAAAAATTGACCGATTTGACATCCCTAATATATATATATATATATATATATATATATATATATATATATATATATATATATATATATATATTTATATATTCCAAGTTTAAAGTGTCCCAGTAAAATGGCCGCGCTCTAAACCCTATAGGTTTACACAGTTACACATACCCGGACTACGTATATTTATGGCAGATCATTGATGTTAGACGGTGCCTTTATCATACTTTTCTCTTTTAAGTTTACATCACACATACCGCTTTCTGCTTGAACTTTATAATAATTTGTAGATCTTCGAATGGCGTCAGTGTATGAAGTTGATCCATCGCCCAACGACCTCCAATTTGTTATTCTTCCATCTCTTCTGGCGTTTAAATAATTTTGAAGAAGTCCTTTATCTTGGAAATATTGCCGGAAGTATTCATGCTCAACTCCAAAAAGACCCCTTTTATATCGATGTCTATAACAGAAGATTCTTACAATCAAACCAATTGCAATATAGCATAGCTTTAGAATTTGAGAAATATTACTCAGAATATCAACGATTGATCATGACTTATTATGGAACTATATGAAAAAGACTTTTTCCTGCATTTTCAGGAATGAAATAGGCGAAGATAACGAACAGTAATCGATCTCTAGAAAAATGAGGTCATTTAAAAAAGCAAACATTATGGAAAGTGGTTTCCGTAATAAATGGTTTCTATTACAATCGTCGGCCATATCATCAGATGTTCATTCTCACCATCCGGATATAGAAATATATCCGGTAATCAAATGTCGCGTTCAAACCAATGAAAGTGTGACATTTAAATCCAAAGGGAAAAAGTCGTAAGAAGTTGGTGGAATTCCTTTTTACAGTAAACTAAAAAATCAGAAACATCAGAGTTATTTATAGCTTTCACCTTTCAATGCCCCTACTATATGAGTCCTCTGGTTGTGTAATTAATTCATCCTTCTCCGAATGTTTGCTATCTAAAAATGGAGTAAAAATTGAAAAAAAGAGTCATTTTGATATTTTTGATCTTCCAATATTCATTTAATAGATATTTGTCACAGAAGAAAAGCACAGGGATGTGACGTCATTTAGCCATACAACTTGAATTAAACTTATTCTAATTTAGTTCACAGATTAGAAGGACAGTTTAAAAGAAAAAAAATGTTTCCTATTTTGTATTCATAGTTTTACGGATATTTGAACCATGATTTTTTTTTTTTAGAAAACGTAAACTCGTAGCTGTTTGTAACTGTAGTCTTGAATTAGTCTTGAATTCCTTAAACCTACATAACCATTTAAATGCAATTAATTAGAAGCAAGATATTATTAAGATAGATTTATAAAATGAATTGCACAGAAACAAGATATAATTTATAGATAATTATAGAATGAATAAACAAAACAATCTAAATCGCCATTTTGATTAAAAATTGCGTCCATCAAACTCGATCATTATGAGGGGTAAAAAATGCATAGTTTATATCAAATTGTCTGAATGTTTGCATAAATCCTGTTTTTTAAAAAAACAGTTTTAAAATATTTTACCTGCACTTCCTATGAAGAACAGCAAAACAAATAAGAAATACGCTATTGGTGACATTTTCTAAAAGTTTAAACAAATCAATTAGTAATGCATGTTGAATTGGAACTGGCTTGCATTTAAGATGAAAAAGAAATATCTTTTTTGGTGAAATATATATAGAAAAACTAAAATACACTTTCTGTTCAATAAGGACATGAAATTATAGAACTGTTGAAAGAAGCATAACATAAATACTTTAAAGGAGAGATAAGATAACGCCATACCTTACGTAAAGATGTTTGCCAACGTAGAGCTTGAATGTTCAGAATAAAGTTGTTCCTTCCTCCTGCGTTTTTAAAAGAAAACACAAAGGAAGAAAAATACGTTGGGATTTCCATTGCTGTAGTTGAATGTTAAGGAGTAGGAAAAATGTGGATGACAAAGAGTTTAACATACTTGCGATTGTACATCGCAAAGTAAAACTACTCTTAAACATTTTGAAAACCAAAACTAAATAAAAAACAAAAATTCGTAATAAAAATCGAAATTACAAAATAAAAAATTAAAGCAAAATAAAAAACGAAAATACAAATTAAAAAAACGAAAATACTAAATTAAAAAAGAAATTCTTAAATAAAAAACGAAAATAAAAAATAGAAAAAAACGAAAATACAAAAAAAAGCGAAATTAATAAGTAAAAAACGAAAATAAAAAACGAAAATATTAGATTTAAAAAAAAAAACGAAATTACAAAAAAGAAAACCGAAACAAAAGTACGGAATTTAAATGTGCATGGTAAGGACGTGAACCCATGTATCATTCCATTAAGCGCAAGTGTTATAAAGCATTAATTCTTTAGACCTGATTTTGTTTCAACATTAAACAAATGTTATAACATTTGCATTTACATTTAGCTATTTTTATATCAATATCATAATAACCAAATGGAGAAGGCGCTCACAATAAGGGATAATTTTACCTTTGGTTATCTAATATGCTTAGATCTATGTTTTTATTTTACATTAATGTGAAGTTTGACCAGTCTGATGAATTTGCCATTGATTCTAGAGAAGACGATGATAAGTTAACATTAGCTGTCTTGAACCCTCAGCTCAGGAGGATTAATCATCCGCAAACAATGAATCTGCACATGAAAAATCAAAGAGATTATGGTAATAAATTGACCAAAATTTCAGATATACATGTCTGTCTATTACGTTGCCGTTGTTTACAACTGCTAAACTTTATAACATTTAATAAGACCTCATTGCTATATATCATTTGTCAATTTATTACACAGCACAACAATGCTGTAAAATTCGCTCATTGCTCATTCAAATCTACTCACTGTGAACACCTTCACTTGTTTAATTTTTGCACTTGCTCTCGTTAAACCCCTTTTTTAAATAATGTAAAACAAACCCGCAAAATGCGATAGGTAACGTTTAATTTTACAACATTATTGTGCTGTGCGATAAATTCACAAATGATGTATTGCGATGGAAATTTCCTAAATGTACTAGTAATAAAGTTCAGCAGTTGTAAATAACAGAATCTTTTCAGACAGACATGATTGGTCAATTTATTATCATAATCTCTTTGATATTTCATATTTAGTTTGTTTTTCATTTTATAATTTTGTTTGTATTTAGTATTTTCGTTTTTTATTTAGTTCTGGTCTGCGCTATCGAGCTTCTGAAAATAAATGAAAAAATGAACACATTAGATAATCTTATTATGAAAATAATGAAATTAAAGCTAAACAAGCAAAAGAAAAAGCTGTTAAAAGAAGAAATACATTAAAAAAGTCCGTTTCTGCTAATAGAGCACACTCACCCTAACTCGCAAATAAAGAAACTGTTTAATCAAAAGTGGAATGTTTGCTTGAACATATACTGGGGTCATATTTTACATAATTTACAGTCATTTACACTGTTGCCTGGGGGATATGACAAATAAGAGATCAAGCATTAGCGAAAACCCACGTTTTTTTAAAATACTAAACCTGTAGGTTTCATGCTGAAAAAAGAAAATCAGTGATCACTCATCCCTGGGAATAGTATGAAATTATACCCCCTTGTCCCGCTGTCGTCCCTTATAAAGCTTGCTTTACGCCAAGTAATAAAAAAAATAAAGCATGTTTTAGATTTCTTTATTTTCACAAACCTTGTCTGATACACATATGACAGCTATATGACATCCGTTTATAGTCTAAGTCTCTTGTCAAATCTGGAAGCACTTTCTTTTTCATTTTCTTGGTATTTCACCGGCTATAAACAGAAGAAAATTATCACGCCAAAACTTTTACTCATCACCAGGGATAGGCAGACTGACATTCACTTGTCCTCAGTCAATTTTCACTCGAACTTTACGAGGAGACGAGTGTTTTTTTCCGCAGCTTAGGGTTGCAAGTTGGGAGGATATACATTTTACACAAGCAGGTATTTTAAGGAAGCATTCAGTCAATTTATTGGGGAATAATTTAGACATAAAAATTAATTTGATAAATTACTAAAGTCACAAATGTAACAGTCTATTATCCACCATATTGTGAAGACGTCAGAGTATCTTAAAACAAAAATGGCTTAGCCACGACGTCGTCAAGTAACTACTTGAAATATAAAAAAAATCTCAACAGAGCAACAGTTCCCCAGATTTTAATTACTTGTAAACAAAAGAAAAAACTTTTAACTGAGAAACACCTTAATGCTTAAGAAATGCTGCTAGGATCCTACTGTATGTCAGTGAAATAAATATTCCAAATAGAAAAACCACCCAATTTTATATACCAGTATCATCCCTTTTCTTCAATTCATTTTACCAAAAAGCAATTTCATATGGACAAAAGTTTATGTCTTAGAAAATTTGGTATATTGGAAGAATTAAATATAGAAGCTTGGTTCAAATGTACTTATTCATTGTTTTGCTCAGTGGCTAAAGAGGAAGCCTGATCTTATTTTTGAGTGGATAATTTATGTATGTTTACAACATTTTAAGTACTTTCTCACTCATGTCTTGATTGTGCCACATTTCAATACCTCCAAGGTCAACAACAATCTTGAATACTGGAAAAAACAGATATTAAATATCAAAGGATTATACTGCATTAAACCAAGGCGACGGAGATTTGTTTAACGACTCTTATTAAAAATATTGCATTCAAATATTATCGATATGCGACACATGCAACATACTGAAAGGCTTTTCTTGGGCGTATTTTTTCCTTTTCAAATTTAGATTTCCTTTCGTTTTCTTTTGAAAGTTCAAATTTATATTTCAGTATTTATTTTAAATGTTAGTATTAACATATATTTCTTTTCTTACTTTGCATGACGGAAGTGTTTTGATATGTGTATTGTGTGACTAGAGATTATATTTTTTAAAAGTCTGACACAAAAAAGATGAAACCAGTCCAAAAACCGTAAAAAGAAAATCATAGGAAAATTTGTTAAAGTAAATTATTTTTTTAATTTTAAAAGATATTTACTGTAAAGCGCAAACTTGAGGATATAAGTTTACGCTTAAAGGATTGAAAAAAATGCTTTTAAAATTAAAAAAAATCATACTAATAATTTACAACGAACAGGTTTTTTTTTTAGCTTGCCTGAGCTAAAGGTTCAAATGAGCTTTTCTGATCAAAATGTGTCCCTTGTCTGTCGTTGTCGCTGTTGTAGTTGTCGGCGGTGTCGTCGTAAACTTTTTAAAATTTTCTCTTCTATTTCAGAACCACCGAGCATATGAGTAAAGAGGATTCAAGTTTGTTCAAATGAACGGCCACAGCCTTCTTCCAAGTGGAGATAATTAAGAAAAAGTAAAAATTGTTTTGGGTTATTTAAAAAATCTTCTTTTCAAGAACCACTGTGCCAGAAAAGATGAAACTTATCTGAAAGCTTCCTGCCCAAGTGTATATTCAAGTTTCTTCGAAGCATGACCTCCGGGCGTAGGGTGGGGCCTCTTTGGGCGATCAAAGTTTTATGTGGGTATTAATATATAGAAAACTCTTTAAAATTTTCTTCTGAAGCACAGCAAAGTTATGTTCAGTTATATTTATGTGGAAGCATCCTAGGTAGTGTAGATTCAAGTTTGTTCAAATCGTGACCCCCGGGGTAGGGTGGGGCCACTATATATGGGCGATCAATGTTTTGCATGGGTATAAATAGGAAAACTCTTTAAAAAGCTTCTTCTCAAGAATTGGAAAGCTATGATTAATCATATTTATATGGAAGCATCCTCTGGTTGTGATTTTCAAGTATGTTCAAATCATGACCCCTTGGAGTAGGGTGAATCAACAATGTGTAATCAAAGTTTTACATGGGTAAATATAGGAAAAAACTTTTAAATCTTCTTCTGAAAAACAGCAAAGCCATGATCGAGAATATTTATATGGAAGAATCCTCAGTCAGTATAGATTCAAATTTGTTCAAATCATGACCCCTCGATGTTATGTTGGGCTACTATGGGCGATCAAAGTTTTACAGTTGGATTGATTGATTGATTGTAAAACTATGTTGTTTTTCGTCCCGTTCGAGAATTTTTCATTCATTTAGAGACGTCAGAATATACCGGTGAAGTGCTTTAAATTTAGACCTTTAGTCGGCACTCAGGGGGCATTGAGCAGTGAGGGTTCTTTGTCGTGTCAAGGCCTACCGTGACGCGGGGCCTCAGTTTTTAAAGTCTCATCCGAATGACCTGCAACTTTCACTTCAAAGTGCCGAGTGCTTGGCGAAAGAACAGCTGCTACCTGTTTTTTTTATCAGCTTAGGTCAGTCGGGTCCGTGATTCGAACACACGACCTTCAAATCACGGTGCATGCACTCTATCGACTGAGCTACCGTGACGGTTTTTACGGTTGAATATAAATAAAAAAAAATAATTTAAAATCTTCTCAAGAATAGGAAATCCATGATTAATCATATTTATAATGAAGCATCCTTCAATTTTAGTAGATTAAAGATCAAATCATGACCCCTGAGGGAAGGTGGGCCTGCAATGGAGATAAAAGTTTTCCATAGGAATACACAGGAGAAATCTTTAGAAAAAAAAATTAATGAAGAACACCAAGGCCATGATCAATCAGATTTATATGTTTGCATCCACAGATAGTGTATGTTAAAGTTAGTTCAAATCATGACCCTCCGGGGATTGGGTGGGGCGAAAATGGGTGATCGTTTCACATAGGAATATATAGGAAAAAGAATCTGCTGATGGAGAACAAGAAGGCCCATAATTACTCAGGTGAGCTTTGTGGCTAACGAGTCTCTTTATCTATATTCTAAAAACTGTTTTTTACTTTCGTTCTTTTCCTGTTTTTTCTGTTTATCCAAGATCTTTCAGAAACAGAGACAAACTTAAGGTATAAGGATTTCACCAATCTCTAAATATTTTTGTGTGGCGCAGTGGTTAGAGCGTCTGCTCTAGA